GGCTGGTATCTCAGCTGTCAAACCTCCGTGACAGCCGAAAAATGTAGCATTGGTTGCGTTTAGCGGAAAAAATTGCTTTGTAACTGTTGTAAAATTCGTGAATCTGATTGGTACATGCTCTTGGATTCAACCAAAATTAAGAGCATACTCCAATCACGAAGTGTATCACTGAGTTTGCTGTACATTTTACGGCTGTGAGGATCACGATAATATACACACTTTATTGTCCATAATCTTGCTTTAATCTTTAAGCCGTAATAAATTGACTAACCACAGTCGATTATTTTAAAAATAATCAACTGTGGTTCGTCAATTTCTTGAGGCTTAGGAATTAAAGCAAGGTTGTGGACAAGGGGTCACGGAGAAATTGCAAAATAACGCGATAAAATGCAACTAATTTTCCAAGATGTCAAGCGAGGCCTAGTGTAAGTCTGGGCGAGTGTCAGCCAATCAACTACACTGACACGGTTATTTCGTGTTTTCGACACTGCTAGGCGCCATCGTCAACTCTGACTTTTTACGCGGAGATAGCAGAGCTTTAAAATTTATCATATGATGTTATATGTATTTGTTTTGCATTGTTTACGTAAATTAATTCACAACTGAACATATATGCATTTATGACACATTATTATATTTATCACAAATTCTAGAAAAAGTTCATATATGTCTAAATTCTAAAATTTTTAATTTTAGATTTCTTCCTTAACTCCGAAATTCTAATATTTTAGGTTTATTGAAAATTCTAGAATTTGTAACTTATAGTCTGGAATTCTGAATTATGAAATGTTAAATTCTACATATTAAGGATAATTTTGCCTTGATATAATAATTTTTGTTTATTGCAGGTCGATAGACAAGCCATTCATCGAGGAAGAAGATTACGAACGCGTGATGAAGGAATGGGCGTGAGGAAGTTGCAGAGAATGTGATAGAGCATGCTTATTTTTTTTACGAGATTTATCTTTCAGAACTGATCCAAGGCTTAGTATGCTTTCCAAAAAGTTTTATTATAACTTTTGTAAATATTGAAGAAAAATCGTGTATGAAAAAATATTGTATTTGAAATCTTAAAACAAATTTAGCTAGACGATTATTGTGTAATTTCTAGTAATTATAGATATTTAGATTTTAGTATTCTAGTATTTCGGCTCGCTTATTTTATAAATGTTCAATTGTCGAAATAAACTGATTCCATCATTTGTTTATTTCAATTAATTGTTTATAGCTAAAATTGAATAATTTACTTTATTTACATGCTGGAGAAATAAATGTATACAATTTGAGTATCGAGAGAGAGCTTAATTAAAAAAGTATTATACTTAATAACATTGAAACTTATGACATTGATTTTTTAATCTTCCCCAGAATTTATGTATGTTTATATAATAATTTAATCTCCCAACATAATTATTTGTTATTCCTGTAATTTTTCGGTCTTTGCGCGATTAATGTGATCGTTATTTTGCGACTTAAGTAAAATTAAGAGCATACTCCAATCAGATTCACGAATTTTACAACAGTTGCAAAGCAGCTTTTTCTGCTGAACGCAGCCATTATTTCAGGAATTATTTATTATAGCAGAGATAGCAGAGCCTTAATAGAAAATTACGATTTAACATGCATATCAAATGTTCAGTGATAATAATATTAATACTGATTTCTTCTGACAGCACGTTTGCGTTCTGTTCTTCAGTAATATCCAATGTTTTACTCCAACGAATGCAGATTTTTTATTTAATAAAGACTAATTTAAAATCTTATTAGTCTTATTGTATATTGATTTATTTTACGTGAAAATATGAAGCACGAACTGGTTTCGACGAAATCTTTAGAATCAGTCTTGAGCTGTTAAGAAACTTCCATCTCTGCCTTTTTATCTCTCTTACTGACAGACTTATTACCGTGGATATAGTAACGCAAGGGTTTACTGGCCCATTCCGGACCGCTGCTGTCAATTCCAATCCTAGCGGAACTGATAATCCTGAAGTCCGACAACACGCCGTCATCCTCAATCCACAGAGACTTCCAGGTACAAACAGAGTACTTGTTATGTTGCCTGTCAAGCTGATATGCCATGCACAGTTTCGATGGACCATTACATAGCTCGTGCGGTTTCAGACTGGCTTTCCTCGTCTCCGATAGCTTCCGTTGGTCAGCCATGTGCTCGATACCTTCCAAGGGATCCACAGCTCGCACCAGTACCGCGCATCCAACACCTAAGATCTTATCAATGTTGAAATGAGGTTCTTCTAAAATTCCCGATATGAGAAGAATCTATTCTTCTATATAGATTAAGGAAGTTATTAAAGAAACTGCAGTACTACTATTATTGTAATTGAACATTATCTAATGTGGTTTTCTTTGGTGAATTAATTTTTCTAATTTCTCTTGAACTCTTTAAGTGCCAAATTTATTTTATGTACTGTGAAATACATTAAATACATGTATAGGACTAGATATACTTGTTGGTATTTATCATAGGCTAGAAACTCTCTTGATTAAATTCTTTATATTCACTACCTAAATTTATAAAATTCAACATTCTATATAACAACATACAAAAGTGAAGGCAAAGACAGTTTCACTTTTTTAAAATTTATCTCTCAACTCGCTAAAGGCAAGCGTGGCGTTTAAAGGGAGAAAGAGAATAAGAATCATGTTATGATTACATTTTGTTCTATATACAATATAAAATTCATAGTGTGGATAGCATTGATGAAATTACAATTATTTGGTACAAATCTTAATATTAAGCAAAAATATATTTTTGTATTTAGGAAAAGTTTTGAAATTAACTCCATATTTGGATTTATAATTCGATCTAAAGAGTTTCAGGTTTGCTAAACTTAATTCGTTACAACATAAGCATATTTCTCGCGCTCGGAGTTTCTTTCACTAACACTAGCGCTGCCTAGTACATAATATCGCATCTTTCGGATGTAGATATCGTTCGACTCATGGTCTTTTAGTGGTACGGCTACTATAGTAGGAGATCTTACAAAAGGCTGACTTTCGAGCCATAAATTATTACACGCGTGAGCGAACTTTCGGTCGAAAGTATCCTGGTCGATTGCAAACGCATCGCAAATCTTGAAAGGATTATCGCAAAGCTCATATTGCTTTAGGCGCGTTACACGGTCCGCGATTTGCTTTTCTCTTCCGTTATCCTTGAGCTGCATGTTTCTTAGCAATTCCATGTACTCGAGGCCCACCAGCGGTTCGACCGCTCTGATCAATACATACGCACTCACCTCTAAACGTTATTTAGAATACTATACTATATTTTTTACTATAATATTTTAGTAGTACCAATAACATCGTATTTCGATGTGCAATTGGTCTTTTAAGATTATATATATTTTTTGTCTCTTTAGTACCGAATTCATTCATAGAAACGAAATTCTAAGATCTCTAAATAGAAATTGAGATGAGTGAAACAATTGCGTAAATACCACAATTATAATTGCTGAAAATTGATTCATTCGTATATATATACGCGCAATTCTGCAGTTCGAGCGTATTTTCAAATTACCAGAATGCGTATGCAATACTTTTCATATTTCAAATTAATATGTCAAATGATTTTATGAGCTTATAATAACGAATATCGCAGTATAATAGAATCAAGTTAAACATGAGATAATATTTATAAAGTCAAAAAGTCTATATTTTTATATATTATCTTATTGATCAAAGTTCAATTTTAGACTTTTTGATTTTATAAATATTATGTTAGGTTTAGCTTAATTTTATTATACTACATATTCACACATGTATTTTAAAAGTCCTTGACATACTAATTTGATTTAATATCAATAGAACCTTTTTTATTAGATGTTTCACATTCCTTTTTATTATTAATGGTTTAGGAGTGTAATATTTTTCTTATTTTCCTAATTATATAGTTTTAATAATTTCCAATAATTTTATAAAAAAAGATGTTTTATACATAACAGAAAAAAAAATTTTACATATTTGTACTCACCTTGACTGGAAATGTTAAAGCAATGGTACATGCCATACGTCATGTAAACGTAAATAGTCCCTGGTGGCATATACATTGGTATATTGCGTGGTGTAACTTTGTTCTGATAAGTTTGAGATGCCTTGTCGATTGCACCCAAATATCCCTCAGTCTCCACTATTCTTCCTTTAAGAATAGTTCCATTCTCAAGATATCGTACAAGTATTTTACCTGCAGAAAAAATAGAAAATTTATCTCTTAATACATTAGATATTTTAATGAATAACTAATTAATAACTTAGTATATAACTACTTTCACAGATAAAAAAATAATATATTTAAGTGTAAATTACAGAAAATATATTTTATATTGCAAACCTAATAACCGTTGCGCAAGTTCCTCACAGGGAATATCAAAAAAATCATATTGCAACCGACCAGAAGACAATTCCTTCTCCCAAGGTGTTATAGGAGGATCTTCCAATTGTTTCAATTCTTCTTTCATCATTTGCAGGTCTACAACGGCTCTTGGTTTTTTTTTACTTACTTTTGTGTTTGGTTTCAACTCTTCTTCTATAAAACTTCTTAATAAGCATATTTAGACAAACAAGAATCTTGTAATTAATTAACAGAGCTTACGACTAACTTTTGATGAGAGTTTTTGTCTTTGGTTCTTCTTGAACACTCTTAAATTTCTTAGAGGACTCAGTAATGTGAGAATTGGTCGTGCTATATACATTTTTGTTATCTTCACTTCGTAAAGATTTCAGGTTTAGTTTTGGTTTTTCATTTGACTCTACCTAATACAAAATAATGTGTTAATGTAAAAGCTGTATTGGATTTTGAGATATGACAATATGTAAATGGACTGTAACATTTGCACACATTATAAATATGTACATTTGTGCATATTTGTACATATTCTTTTAATTATTCTAACATATTAAATAAAATCAAAAGTCTAATCCTAACCTTCTCTTGGAATATAGACTTTGCATAAAATAATGTAGAATTATTATTGTTTTTAAAGAATTAATCTGTTATATATCCTCTTTTATCTATTACCAAAAATAAATAATTTTGCTAATAAGTCGGCATTTATCATAAAAGCATTAAATACGATAGAAACCTTTGAAGCCATTTGGATCTCCACCAACTTTACTACTTCATCATCAGGATTCTCCTGAATTGCATGTCGCTGCTGAACTTTCGCAGCTGCTCTCGTTCGCTTCATTGACTTATTTTCTGTCGTAACTTCAATAGTTTCACAACTTCCGACTGCACGAGTTATTTCTACGCAAAGCAAGGTATAACGCGATCGATGTCATGAAGATTAGGGTTAACATCAGTGTCAACAATGTTCGGTGTCGAAATTTGTACTTATTAAATTCTTATAGAGATTTTGCAATTGGAAATTGTATGTGCATGCCATTACGCGTAACCAGATTTTCGAATCAGATATTACATTTACAAAATATTACAATAGGATCACATAATCACACATTTCTTGTTTACACGCAAACGGGACGCGTCGACGCGTATGAAATTTGTAAACATCGAGCACTGAGATAGAACGGTACTGCGCAGGCGTAATGTATAGTCAAGTGATATTTCGCGTGCCCGTCGTCTTATATGAAGGCTGCGTTTAGGGAGACACTATTTAGCGCTATAAACGTCCTCTGTCCTTGTTCAACTTTTAGGGACAAACAAGGGCAGAGCATACTTATAGCGCTAAATAGCGTCTCCTCGAACGCAGCTGAAGTCTGTTCTTTGTAGTAGCATTACTGAACTGATATAATTTAGAGAGACAATAAATAGAGTGAGAAAAAATATATTGATTTCACACCAACTTATTGCATCAGTTCAGCAATGCAGCTACGAAGGACAGAACAATGATGGCGCAGTCGAATTTCGATGGTTCGTCGAATTTTCGCGGTAACCGCAATGGCGTGCGTTTGAATTCCGTGTGTTACATTGGGCGCGTTCAGCGGAAAAAGTGCTTAGTGAGAAATCAGCGATTATTGATTCTTACTGTTAGATCCCTAAATCTAGACCAATTACATTGACGAATTACTCAACTGTTATGCAACTGTTGATTTCGCTGAATGCACCTATTGCGTGCTGTCTCGTTCGACGCAAAGTGGTTGATTTGAAGTGACATTCGGCGGTACATTCTGAGTGTAGCTGGTAGGACTCGTGTCAGCGATATATGCGGGACGTGAGTCGATAAAAACTAACGCCAAGATCGCGCGGGCCCATCTTCGCGCAATTATTCGATAATGCGAGATCGATCATATTCGCGTGTAATTAGCGGTACCTTTTTCGCGATAGTGTGTTTTGGATATAGTAATACACGAGTATTACGTGTGTAACAAATGCCCTAAACGATAGCTTGATATGAAAACGATGTCTTGCGGTTGTGTTTCGCGTCGAACGTGGAATCTTAGGTTGCTTTTCAACAAGAGACACAAGTCAACACAAACATCATTCTATCTTTCTTCCATATTTAGTGAGTAACAAAGATAGGATGATATTTGTGTCGATTTGTGTCTTTCGTTGGAAAGCAACCTATGACTCTCCAGACAGTACGATCTTTCAAAAACATCTCTCTCTCTCTCTCTCTCGGATTTCTAAATGTCCGCATAAGTCCTTAGGATATCCCTTGAAGATCTTGTGCTGTCTGGCACTTCAATGTCTGCGTTCAGCAAAGAAAGTAAATAGAGAGAATTTTATAAAAGTAAAAATTACTATAGAATTCTGTAACCGAGGAATAGATCGACATTCTGTAGTAATGACTATTTTTTTCGTTTCATATGTATTACTTATATTTAGAAACTTAAATATATTAAAAATTATGCTATATTTCTAGCAAAATTTGCTGTGTTTCTAACAAAATTGATTACGTTCGTTAACAAGATCTTATTTCTGTACTATTAGAATATATAGTAAAATTTATACGAAAAATTTATACATAATCAAATTTATATGAAAAAAAATTATAATATTCTCTCTGTAGCTCAATAAGCATAATTATCGTTACTTCAGATTAATACATTGTCTCTCAAATCTATCGAAAACTTAAGAGAATATTCTAATCACGGACAATTATTAATCGGCTTTTTACAATAAGCTATTAGTAATAGATTAGTAGTCAGAAGTGAGTTATAAGCAAATCACTAGTATCATAAGACAATAACATGTCAGAAATCAGTAACTGCATGGATATAGTCAAACTCCATTTCCTACAGATTAAAAATTATGATTATTTTACGACTGACTAATGAGCAATATTTTTTGCCATCTTTATTGAGAGAACTAACCAAAACTGACTGAAAACTGTCTTCCCTCTGATTATCTGAAATATGACGCAACGATCTACTACAACTTATCGTAATTGCAAGTTTCTTGAGATTAATGATTTATAATTCTGACTACCAGTTTACGACCAGTGATATGAGTAATGACTAGCTTATTTTAGCTTATTGTCGTAAGCTTATAAGCATTTGCTGAACTGTTTTCTCTATTTAACGCAGCTGTTCTCTAGTGAGTATGATATATTCTCGTTTTTTTAGTATTGTTCCGGAAAAAAAATTCGTATATGAATTTTGTCCAGATATGGTCACATATAATTATATATACCCACATAGCAGGAATATCCCAAATATATCATAAGGATATCTTGAAGATATCACATATCCCAAATATATCTTTAGGATATCCTTATGATATATTTTGGATATCTCTGCTATATAGGATAATTACATATATTCATATTGAAAAGAATGTTGAAGATATAATTGAAGTAAATACTTATGTTTATAGTATCCCATGATGTTGAAGTTTAATTGAATTAAATTATTTTCTTTTCTTTTATTCAACAGTATTTGTTTTATGTATGGACATATATAATTAGATATAGTCATATGTAAAGTCACATATAGATGGACAAAATTCATATATAATTATATATAATTATATATATTTTTATATGACTATATATCAATTTCCCAGATAGCACAGATTATTAAAAAAGAATTTAGTCATATGTCACCAATTCTAAGTTCATTTTTAGATGCAAAAAGAATTCTTTTCCCTGAACTGAATTCTGAAGAATTTTTTTGCATCTGAAAATAAACTCAGAATTGGTGACATACGACTGAATTTATTTTGAATTCTGTGTTATCTAGGTTTTTTTCCTGGGATATCTGTTTTAAAGAGTAGAATGTGAAAATCGCAGTGCATGTAATAAATTTATTATTTGCTTTTTACTTTGTATATGTGGCATATTTTATGTCAGGATTGATTCGCTTTCGTTTGCTATTGTTTGATTTCGTTGAGATAAATCATACAATTGCGGGTACATGATGCCAAAACATTATCAGCAGAACGTTACGTTTCTGAGTTTACTATTCATTTAAAATTATTAAGACCAGTTAAAATAATTATTTAAGAATGGTTAATTTATCGATATATTTTCTCTTGAAACGCGCCATTTTCGTATACAAGAAATGTATTTTGTCAGGAATGTGTTTTCTCTCTTTTACTACTATAATATTTACGATGAAAATGTTAATATAATAATGTATTAATATAAATACATACCATGTGAAGGTCGAGCAAATAATCTTTGATTTGAGAAGAATAAAGAATATTTTAGAGATGTTAATAGTGATCTCATTCTGTGACGGATGATAACGTAATCGAAATAAATTAATTATGAGGTTATCGTTGTGATAACAAAATCATTTGTTTTTAGAAGCAATCGAGCGGTTGATCATTACATCAGTTATAATTATTTATAATTTTATGGGGGATTTTCAAAGTATACTTCAAGTCACACAATTAATTTTACTATTATCAATAACATATTATTATTTCATGGAGATAATCTGCGTGTGTATGTATGTGAGTGTGAGATATGTTGATGAAGGAATTACATTGATAAAAGTTGTGAAAATAATAAAGATCAGTTGAGAAATATGATTTAAATCATGAAGTAGATAGGCTGATATTATTTAATATCAATATTATTAACAGGTTTTATATAGTATATACTTGTTTAAATAATGTATCAAATATGAATAATTTAACATTAATTTAAATTAATCGTGTCGTAAGTATTATTATTGCACGCGCAGCGTGTGTGTTACAGTATATTTTAAAAATCAAATAACCATTCGATTTGTAAAATATCGTTATATACAAATATTTGTATTATCTCATAAATCTCAAATTGTGAATTGTGATTAAGATTTCGAGGGTCAGTATATCAGCTTAATAGTTTAATTCCAAGTTCCCGAGATCCTCCAATATCCAAATTCCTAACTCATTGCTTGAAACTTCGAATTTATATAGAACGTTCTAGGATTGTCATACTTTTTTTATTATAAATTCTTAGCCAAGTTCACCATCGGTTTTCTCTTAGACTCATAATCAACGCTTATAATCGACGTCAAATTTTTGACTTCTTGTAAAAGTTGATTTCGATAATCATCGATCCTCCGCGACGATCTATTGCTTGGTGGTTTGTTGAATTTCCAGTAAGCTTTTGCCCTTCGTTTCGGGAATGAAATACCACACGTAAGGCACCGCTAGTAACACGAAAAATCCGTAGCTCCAGTAGACAGTTGTTTCTCCAGCTATGTCGATGAAAGGCTGATAGGTCTTGGCAAATACGAAGGCGAACGTCGCGTTTCCCAAGGCGATGCAAAGCGACGCCACGTTCTTGAAATTCGCCGGGAACATCTCGCTTACAAGAGTGCTAGGCACCGGGACTAGACCGTAGGATACGAAGATGCTGAAGGACAGCAAAGATGTAATTGGCAACCACGTCAGTATTTCAGGATTCAAATTCAGGGAGAGGAGGTAGAAATGCAGGCCAAGAGCGACGAGTGAAACGGCAACGCCGAAGCTGGAAACTATCAGAAGATTCCTCCGCCCGAATCTGTCCACCAGGAAGGTAACGGTGGAGCCGACGACAATCGTGGAGAAACCCAACACCATCACTATGATCGACGGAGTGATGCTCACCCCGCTGTTAATCAGGATAATTTCCGCGTAGGAATTTATCGTGTTGTATGAGCTCGCATACACAAAGACGTTTAGGCCGGACATGATCAACATGCTTTTCAAGTTCGCTGGAACAGAAAGAGAGAAAAGATTGATTGATTTTAATTCATAATTAATTTCAATTAATTCTTCAATAAGTTATGTTTTCTCTCTAAAGAACTCTCGAAAGAATATATACTTGGCAGAGTTCTAAATATCAATCTTTCAGAAATAATATTTTTCAAAAGTATCATCTTTCAAAAATACTCCCTCTAAATTGTAGACCGAAATTCGCAAAAATAGCGGAGTTAATAACATTTTGAGTAAAACCGGCCGCGATTTGTTGGCGCATGATGCGGTTAGTCGGCACCTAGATAGCATAGAAAATTAAAAAAAAATTCAGTAGTATGTCACCAATTCTGAGTTTATTTTTAGATACAAAAAGAATTCTTTTCACTGAACTGAGCTCTGAAGAATTCTTTTTGCATCTGAAAATAAGAATTGGAGATATACAACTGAATTCTTTTTTAATTTTCTTTTGAGTTCTCTGTGCTATCTGGGCACTTACACAGCTTCTTTTGTTTCGTCTGTATCAAATTCTTTTTCGCAAGCTTTTTTCATGTTTTGTTTTAAATATTAATAAGTCGTTTTTGTATATTAATATAATACCAAATTAATATTTGCAAGAGCAAAGAGTTTAATTAAATCGTCCTTGGAGTATCAAGTCGAAAGATCGATAAAGAAAATAGCGCGTTCAATGTGGATAAAAAGAAATGATTAAGAGAAGAACAAGCATATAGACAATTCAGAAAAGATAAGTTTATAAAGAGAAAGCATTCAGTCAGCAAATATGAAGCAGTGTAAGATGAATACGAGAATAGGAGCAAATGAATATTTCTACATAAAATCAATATACGAAGATTTAAGCAAGTAAATGTAATAAAAATATAATATTAAAAGATATAAAGGTTTAATAAAGTATATTTTATTGGAACGTTGTCTTAGTGAAGATTCCCAAGTAGAAATCGTATACGTTTCGCCAGTATGGAAAAATGGCCCGATACTGGGTCGATACCGAAAAGCGGATGTCCGGTTTTGGTACTGGTTCAGTACTGGGCCTAACATAAAAAAACTGTATTATTGGTAAACAGAAATTTCTCGATCATCGTACGCGGCGAATCAACCTTCCACACTTAGGCCGATCCTTGAGTCCCAATCTTATATATATATATATATATATATTCCCAAACCCCTCCTATTAAACCGATGACTCAAATTGATTCATTTTTATATTATTGGTACTGGCTCCGTACTAAGGTTAGGTATTGAATAGTCGTACTCAGGGTTGGGAAAGTTACTTTTTAAAAGTAACTAGTTACAGTTACAGTTTCCCTTGCTGGAAATGTAACTAGTTACAGTTATATGTTACTAGTTATAAAAAGTAACTCGTTACAGTTACAGTTACTAAAAAAGTAACGAATCGTTACTTTTAAGTTACTTTCTTGAAATAATTGTAAATTATTATTGTAAATACAAAAATCTTACATATTAAGCTTTACTAAAATGTAAGAATTGAATTTTATAAATAATATCTATCACATTAATTAGTTTATCCACTTAACAAATTTCAAATCTGTACATAACATAATAAAAATTTAATAAT